CTCTTTGACGAGTTCGTAGCTTGGTGCGGCGAATGGCAAAACTCACTGATGATGCCGACGAAACGTTTGATAATGTACCAAGTCCACTGTCTAATGCTGGGAATCATGACAACTACTATGACAGGCGACTTCGGACTAGATGCGTTCTACTAAGTCGCACTGACAACAAGACCAAGTTGCAACAATGAGATCAACCCACTTTTATAAATTGAAAGGAGACTGAGACCATACCAGAGGCCACAACATTTTGGTCTTCATATCTTAGCTTTTGTAAAATTTTTAAGTTATGTCTAGGCCAAGCGAATTATCCGGCTAAATCCTACCTCTTATATATACTCATAACCAACAAGGCAAAATGTATTGGCATAGAAAGATATGGAATGGTTTGGCCAATTAACTGGCCTATTGGTCATGGAACTTTTAATTGTGTGTGTGCATTGGACTGCGTCAACATAAACGTCGTATTAAATCCAAACGTCTGCATTTAAATATGAAATGTAAGTCTCCCCAACGATGTCAAGTTTTACAGGTTTCTTCACAAAATATAACGTGGTTACTCCCAATTATATGCACCCAAGTGACGAAATCTAGTATATTTGTATACAGGATTTGAACAGGTGATTTTAATTACCTTTAACTAAGGAAGTCAAGAATAAATTGGAATTTAATCAAATTAATTATTAACCTTACGTTACGCTAATTATATTTCAAACAAGTGATTTCAATTGGACTAGACACTATCCTCTTAGCCGTATCAACACTGACTAATTAGACATAAAGTTAGTCAATTTCAAGTGCCAATTTATTAAAACAATTGGCATTTTTCCAGTTAACTGGAAGTAGAATAGATTGAAACGACCTTTCGTCTGACCCAAGGTCCCTCTGCTGTGTTGATTATGAATGTAACGCTCTTCGCTTTAGACTAAACTTTATCCTTGCTGTATTGAAAGGCCTAATTTCGTCGACAAGCAGATGAGCTCTTCTTGACTCTCCTCTGGCCTGGAATCTCGAGACGTGATTAACTTAGAGAGGCATGATGGTGTTGGGAGTCACCCACACTTGTCAAGTTTCACATAGACCTGGACTGCCGTCCGACAACAAGTCGAGCTTCACCTTGCAGGCCTCGCAAACGTAGGCATTGCAATGGTAGCCTGCCGAAACGTCACCGCAAATGTCGCATGGTCGACGGTCGCGAAGGTCTGCGGGGCTCTGAGCACTGCCGAGAGGGTCTAAAGGACGGCCTTCTCGCTTGTCACCGTCGCTGAGGCTGTCTCTCGTGCCGCTTGCATACGTCAACGTCTTTTCCTGCCCCTCGGGCGTCGGTCGGTTTAGGCTCTGGCGATAGGTCGTCTGCTTGGCCGCCAGATACGAGACTTCAAAACTCAAACCGGCACTGTGAGTGTGCACCGCCGGTGTCATGGCGCCTGAAGAGACTCTGGTCGCGGTGGCAACACCGACTGTCTGAGCTGAAATCTCGTTGCTACGTGGAGTGGCCTCGAGGCGAGAAAAGTCCATTTCTGATAGCATGGCAGAGCAACTATTGAAGCCGCAGGTACAGCTCGATGGTCGTGAGTGGTCACCGACCGCGAGACGGTCACAAGGTCCGGTCTCATGTTGCATGTTCTGATGTTGGCCCGGCAACAGGGTTCTCGCTTCTTGCTGCTGCGATAGCGAGTGCGAGTGTACAGAGTAGTGCTGTTGCTCACGCTGTTGCTGGGGCTGTCGGGTGGGGTGACTTCGGTACATGGGCTCGGCAAGACTGGCGTCCATGTGGGGCTCGTTGGCCAGCAAGGAGGACGTATGTACATATGGCCGTGGTCCTGGAGCCGACGGGGCCGCGGTTGGAGGGGACAACAGGCCGGGGGACGGATGGAAATGGTGACAGCCGCAATTGTGGTTGTGGTTGTGGTTGTGGTTGTGGTTGTGCTCGACGGGGTAGTTGAGGTGGTGTGAATGCGCAACACTGTCGAGGTGGTGATGGTCCAGCATGACGTGACTGGTGCTGTTGGAGGATTTACCGCATGAAGGCCCTTGCAGGCCGATGGACGACAGCTCGGACGAGGGGTACGTGTTTCCGGTGGAATAGTCGAATCCGGACACGTTGAGCCTCAGTCCTGGGCTGCAGCGGTCTCGGACAAAGACCAATTGGTCGGCCGCGTAGACGAGCGCCGGAGCCGACGTCTGCCGGGCTCGGCTGC